GGTATGAGGATACCCGAGTCTTCGGGTTGGTAAGTTTCAATGTAATAGAAGAACCAAGGTGCTCGGATCTAGGAGGTGGAATGAATTTTTTTCGGAGAACGGGGACTAAATGCCTGTAAGCAATGATGTCCGTAAAAGCCGTTGAGCGAAACATTCTGCTAGTATTGCTTCAAGTCAGTATTTAATTGCATACGACGTCGGCCCAAGAGCCAATTGTTGGATACTTCGAAACACGGCAATTCCCCATCTACCACTAGATCAAGTTACAACCTAAGCCGAGTCAAGAGTACTTAATGTCATTGTTCATCCTTGCTTAATCGACACACTCTCCGCAGACTCAGTTTCCTGCTTCAGGCTAGATGTTTACGAACCGGCAAAGATAAATTCTTCACCTTCCAATGGTGCCAGTGTAATCGCTCAACATGCTCTGCATATCTGGGATAGCCAAGAAGAATCTCATTAGAATCGAAGTCGAAAGTAACCTCAACCATATCTAAAATCGACGTTTTCTCGACAAATGTTGAACCTATCATTCTCACGCGGGTCTTCTACCTTTATTTTCTCACATCACGTCGCCTCTACATTTAATTTAAGCGTTCTTCTAATTGCAATTTCGAATTTGCCTCATCGAAAATCGGCCATCTCCCACTGCAAATTTACGATGCTATGTATATCCGCGAGAAGGAAACTAAGTCATAATCTACAAAGCTCGGGTCTTGGTCTATGGGGGACCATTGCTCTATTATTGCTTCACATCTTGAGGGGAGACAGGCAGTTGGAACGTGAGACGAATGAGTGAAGAGGCAACAAATAGGCATTCTGGGACGCACATTTTTCGAGTGCTTTCGACTTCAGGGTTTCTATGGGCGCAGAGACAACGATTTCGGATACTGCAACCGACACTCTAAAACAGGCAACGATGGAAGGTGTTTTGGTCCGCCTCCTGGTCGTCATCTCCCCGAATTAAAGTCTAGGTAGCATGGATATCTACCTAACTCGACAAAGGGAGGACTATGAGGCCATATCTCGCGCAACTGCTATATACAAGATGACAAAGGCATGTTAGGGTAGCCAAAGGATTTTCCAGTTTTCCCCTTGGTAGATATTAGCTGTTGAGGGAAGGGTGAAAGTCCCTATCACAGTGGGCTTGGGTGGCATCAGCAAATGCACCCACTACATGAGTGGTCAAAATGAGTTATTGCTGTAAATAGTCCTCGGGAAAGCTAGCCTTCTCCGTATTTTGCTCTTTGAGTGCAGGGCTTTTGCCCATCACAAATAATTATTCATTCATTCTTGCTATGAGCTTCAATCGTTTGATGTTTTTGAGGTCTTTATAAAATAGGTTACTTCCGCTGTCTTGTAACAACAGGCTCTCCACCCGAGATTAGTTCTGTCCAAGTCGCAGCTGACATCTAGTATCATGGGGAGGATATATAGACAAACTTCGAAGCTTTAATTAGTAGGCAAGTCCTGATAGATATTCGTTGCACCATTCCGCACTAGTCTTTTTTGAATTTTCGGCTATAATCTCTATCACTTGTAGTTTGTGTGTAATACCAGCTCCAGAATATCATCGATTAACGACCAAGCGAGGCTTATCAATATTCTTCAATTGACTGATTTTCCATGAACATTACGAGACGTCACCATGATATCCAGCTCACTTGTGCGCATAAGACAATACGGAGCTCATCTTACAAGAATCTGTGTTGAGCAATGACTCACAACATGATTACACGGTGTCTTTGACAACATAAAAATTAACCCATTCAACTGTAAGAGCCATAATAACTGGCAATCAGTCAACCATCCAAAACAAAACGCTTAGATCTTTGTTAGTTATTCTAGAAGAGTAGAACCCAAGAATGTGAGTGCCTCAGAAGGACTAGTAGCTCTTAGGCTCATGCTTTCCACAACCTGGACTTGGGAATACCTCACTGACGTAGATCTAGAGTGTTGCCCCAGAACTCGAGTCAATGTGCATCTCAAAGACAGGCGTCGATAAAATAAAATAAGCTACCTTCTTAGAGCGTCATGTCATCCTTTCTCAAAAAACCGAATGCAACTCCATATTTCAGAGTGCCAACTTCCAACTGCATGGCCTTGGGTAAAGATGTTGAGAAAATCCGGGCAATATGGCACTAATAAATGAGCTACCTGCAAAACATTCCGGCGGTTGTTTACTCTAAAACCTGTCCGTGTGTCCAAAGGGCTAAACAAGGAGTGGCATAGTTCTCGATGAAATCTCGCTGCTACAAGATTGTGCATCCTGACGTGTTATTTGCGCGCAGTCTAAAAAACATTAACCTCAGCGAAACTCTGATCAATTCATTGTGAAGAATTTGCGAATGTTTTTTGCTTGCCTATCGTTTTCAAGTTGAAAACGAGCCGAGGGCAGAATCATGATATCATTACACCCATAGAAGGTCCTATGAGGAAAGGCAGACTAACCTTCGTCGAAACGCCTTCTTTTTTACTAGCCATCTGGGGCCTGTCTTAAGCTCCCGGCTGCACCTATCGATCCATTACATTTAAAATATCTCACAATGATGAATTTCTACTCAAACTAGGAATCACAGCCTTATGTTAAACTCGCACTACCAAATTCTTTGCATACCCAAGATATTGACTGACCTATACCGTATTCCTCTATCTGCCACGCTTTGTTCATTTCCTTTTCATCGGGCAATATTTTGGCAGGATCATTACCGACGATTTCTCACGCCCAAGGTGAGCTTGTGTTGCAAACTAATAATATTCGATAGGTACTGTGCTAGATTATAGAGTCTAACCTTCACATAGACAAGATTGTATCGTCAATCTCGAAGCAAGGTATAGCGAAATCAGCTATCACCTGAATCCTTGAGAATAATTATAGAGATATCATTCTAAAAAAGCATGGGCTCTTAATTCAAGAATATTGACATTCTTATGAATCTCACCCGCATTTTTTATACAGAAATTGTCACACAAATGCTTCGACCGAGGAAATACGCCCAGTTCCATTTACATTCGGGCGTCGAGACCCACATTAACCGGAGCGATGTGTTGTTCTTTTATGTAGCCTGGCAATATACTGAGTGATCATAGCAATTAAATGAGATTGATAGTCTTGTTTAATGTAACACAGTTCACAGGATTGTATCTGTCGCTATTCACGCTAAAGTGTGCGACTGTAACTGTCTTGCAACTTGTCGTGGATCCGAGAGCTTCGCAATAATGGTAAAGGCTTTGACTGGTTACCCTGTCATTGATGAAAATCTTCTACAGTCTGCTGTTCGCTAAACATGGTCTAACCTTGTAGTGGTATACAAGTGTGCGCACGGCTCGTTTTGTTTAATTGACATTCAGGGCGTGTTGATAATTGCCCGTGGGCTGCAGTATTCGTGTGACTTATTCCAAATATTTGGCAGACATTATCCTGTTGCAAATAACCTGGCAACTTGGATGATCAGAGTGTTACATCGAAGGCCCAGCTACGGCTATGATCGCACTTAAGTTTCACTGTGATGAGAAAGATAGGAATACTGAAAAGAACGGGTTGGCCACTTCTGTATTAAATTTCCAAATGTCAGGCATTAAGGCATATCAAAGACAACTAAGTATACGCCTATAGTAGTATCGTCAATCTGATAAATTCACCTACCTTGCGGACCGATAATAGTGAGTTGAGGGTCTAGCTAGTGGTCTGGGCGAAGCTACAGCGGGTGAGGGGTCATCCGAGACGGCACCTTTAATTTTGTCTTCATCCGCAATCTATGCACACATGCTAACCCTCTGCCTTGCCAATGGCCCAATTGGCTGGCCCGCTTATATAACGAGCCTACCCGCAGGTATAATTGGGCTGTTGGCAAAATAATGGTCTCCAGTTGTGACGCAGCCTCTAAGATTTTAACGTAGATACTACGTGACCAAGTCAATTCTGAAATTGTTTGTCATCTCTTGATTACTAACGTATACTTCGTGCAATTTCCCCCCGAGAAGCTCGGCACCTCGCCTAAGCTCCTACATCTTGTGTCTATGCCAGTCAAGGCTGTTGGGTCTCGGGTACAATGAAATTGAGCAGCTGAGGAAAAAGACAATCGAAAACACTGTACAGTCTAAGCTGGTTCATGAAGGATCTTTCGAGGTAGATCTTGTGTATTGTAACAATACAGTGTAACATTTTGTTACTGCAAATGTCAACATTCAGCGAACATAAACAATTATCACAGTTTTGTTCTGGGCCCGATTTGTCAAGGTGAATAATAGGTGTATTAGTCTACTTGGTTCCACACCAAAGAGGATCTCTCAATCAGTAAATGGAACTTCTCTATGCCGATTCCCAACAGTAAAGTATTGCCCTGATATCGCTTTTAGATAAAAGAGTAGATAAAGATTTTGGATTCAGAGTAATTCACCTAGAATTGACCGACTATCTTTGAGAACGCCCTTCTAGACCATTATATATCAAAAATTTGAGCTTCGAGCTCTTTCGCCGAACTTACATAACTCACATCCCGTATTCCTTCCAGTCCCAACGCTCTAATTACTCGTAATTTTCCCCTACTTTCTACCAGTGAAGCAATACCATGCGCATTAGAAATATTGGCACTAGAGTATAGTCATAATTGCTGTTACCATTCTGTGGCTTCCTCAAATATGAATCGAAATTAATCATAAGAAATGGTCCGAATTCATGTCGATCAGAGTATCAGTCATATCGTCATTTAGTCATACAAAATCAAAACTCCCTGAATAAAATTCCGGCATGCCATTCGCGGAAAGAAAATTACATTTGGACAAGGTGAAAGTTGAGCTTAAATTTTCGCAGAGGTTTTAAAGGTCCTTTCCAAGCACGATGCTATTAATGTGGCCATCAAATTATTTATCACCCAAATTTTTCGCTGGAGAACTCATGTTGAGATATTTGGAAGCCTCTCAATGTTTGTGGTACCGAGTAGAAAGATCTATGAATTTGGGGAAAAATTGAGCGCTCTCATTAGGGCGCTAGAGCTAAGTTAAAAGTAATCATCGCCCAAGTCACGGCGAGCCTCCGAAAGCCGACGCTGCTGTGAGTTGATTCGTGTCCGTCTGGACGATTTGTCGCTGTGAGTATGGCGATCGTAATTTTCTATTGCGTGTCGTACATCAGAATCAGGACTGGATCGATCACTACCATCGCGTATAGATTTCCCAATCGTGTCGCGCGAGGCTTTATCACGCGATATTTCGATCGCGCCTCCATCGGTACATTCAATTTGAGCACCACCAACCGTGACCCGTACTGATCCAGTCACCTTTATAGTCATATTTTTTTCTTCATTCCCACTTCCACTTCTGGTTGTTCGAGTTGTTACAGACTTTTTATAATCACTGTCATCACGGCTAGCACTACTCTTTGTGCTCCGACTACTACCGTCCTGTCTCTTTTGTTGCCGTCTCAGGGTTTCCGCCGTGAGGGGAGGGTGTTTATCTGGTTCGCCAAAATCATCGAGATAGCAGCTCGCTTGTTGCAATTTGTTTTCGTAGCCACTGGATCCGGCAGAGGTCTGGTTATCGTACCACGTCTTTCTTCGATGGCTGTTACTAGAAGAATCAAGCTTGGCTCCATCTCCTGTGTGACGAGAACCGTGGGAGATGCTCGTTCCGCGAGATCTCACAACCTCTTGGGCTTGTGTATGAGACTTGGAGCTATGTTTGTCATGGGATACATCTTTCCGGCTCTTTCGATCAGTTTGATTTCTGTAATTGTTTGGATGGGGTCGTGAAGGGGGATGAGCAAGTTCGTAATCTGGCTCCTCTTCTTCTTCTTCATCTGGAACTATAGGAGCCGATCCCCGAAAATCGCTCTTCCTTCGGTGTTTGGACCGACGTGGAGGCGGTGCTTCAGATACCGAGTTATATCCTTCTTCATCACATGGCTCCATGTGTGAGCGAGTATCTCGTGAGTCAAAAGCTGAAGCTGTTCGTGTTATCGGATCAAAATCCCGGCCCAGATGAAAGCGGTCATAAAGAGATCGTGATGCAGGTTGCTGTGTCGAGTAAATATGATCTAAAGGTGGAGGAGAGCCGGGATGGATAGGATATGAAGGGGATCGCGGTTGTAGATGACCTGAGAGATTAGGACTAGGACCAGATACTTGACCTGAGGGTAATTGGCTGTGTGGAAATTGACCCTGAGCGTAGTGTCCTGACTGAAATTGATTTGGTGGCAACTGTCCTGGAGGGAAATGATTGGGTGGAAATTGAGTGTGCGGAAACTGGTGCGGGAATTGATTAGGTGGAAGGTGTCCCGAAGGGTGTTGATTAGGCGGGAACTGAACCGATGGATGTTGATTAGGTGGAAACTGACCCGATGGATGTTGATTAGGTGGAAACTGTCCTGGTGGATGTTGATTAGGAGGAAATTGGCCTGGTGGATGATTATTCGGAGGAAACTGTCCTGATGTGTGCTGATTAGGCGTAAACTGGCCGGATGGATGTTGACCTGGAGGGTACTGACCAGGCGGGAATGGTGCGTGTACAGGTGGGCCGTGAGGCGGACCGGCGTGTGAGTCGGGTGGCGGACCAGATGACATTTGTGTGTAGTAGGGCGGCATCGTGGATGGTGCTCCGCCAACATAGGGAGGGTTAGGGGGTGTGTTAAAGGAACCTTGCTGAGGCCGCGGGTAGCTGTTATTTGCTGCAGCGGCCCGTGTACGAAGGGGAAGAGATCCGGGTTGCGGCATCCCGTAGTAAGCTTGATCATGATGTCCAGTCATGTTAGGTTGATTGGCGTGGAGTGGTAGTGGTAGTTGATTGGGATCGCGTACGATATTTGGATGTTGCATCGGAGGAGCTTGGATGGGGTGGAAGTTGTAATTCCCTCTATGTAGTGTAGGATTAGCTTTTGTCGTCACTTCACCCAGCTTGATATCCCTCGTTTTGTCTGCGGAGGTAGACTGAAGTGACGTTTGGTTACTGTGTGCAGTAGATTGATGAGGGTGTGAGGAGGTTTTAGCAGAGCGTCGGGTTTCAAACAAGGTGTGACCCTTCTCATCCTCATCCTCCATGTATGCGGCACAAGCCCTGTCGCAGCCCATTTGTGTTTAGAGCCGAATGTGTGGTCGGTATGGAAAGCCCCGAAATGACACCTGAGAGTGTAGGTAGTAATTCGCACACAGCGATGTTGAAATTTTATCGATGAAGCGTAATAATACTAGTAGTGTCTTGAGGTTTAAGATGAGGGGTGTTGAGAAAGAGGGGCGTAGTATTGGTTTTGCCTTTACTTAGTCTTGGAGTGGTCCTTTGGTGGGGGGAAGGATGAAGGAGGGGATCGGATGTAAGAGAGGTATGGGAATTTACGGAGGCGGTTGGGTAGCTTTTTTCTTTATCGATAGACAAACAGGCCAGGGGGGGGAGGTGCGGGCGGGCGGAAGGGAAGAGGGTAGGGGAGGGGGGCGTTGATAGGATTGAGCCAAATTGAGTCATCAGGCAACCGAGATAATTCTTGCGCAGCTACCAGATACAAAATCAGCACCAATCAATCTATGCCTTGGGAGATCAGTCCATAGCCACAATGACTGTACCGAAGAAGATGAAAATATTGATGAGTTACTTGATGATGTGGAGGCTTCCAGAGTCGTGTAGCGTCGAATACAAAGGATGTGATGGGGTTGCGCGAGGTGCCAAAACTTTGTAGTGTTAATGCAGCTGCTGGCAACAGTGATGTGTGTGTTGTTGGATTACACGACGAAGGAAAGAAAAGTGAACGTGAAATTAACTATGGTTGTGGATGATCTTGAAGCGTTTGACAGATGTTAGTCTAAAGGCAAAGTGGAAGCAATGAGTTGCTAGACTGCGACAGGGTATCCCGACTTGAAATGTGGAATAAAGAGAAATAGAGAGCCAGCCCGAGCGATCGAGAGAATAAGGGAAAGGGCCAAGATCAAAGGGGAAACCTTATGACCGGGGGAGGGAGCGGCTGATCAAGGATTCAAGGGTTTGACAGAGGAAAGTCAACGAATAAATGTACACTAGACATACGAGGAGCCGTTAGCGGGACCGCGCCGGGCACAACTAAATCACCAAGACGCTGCCGTGATCTGCTGCCCGTCGGCCTGATTGGTGTGAATGTAAACGTGACGTTGATGGGTTGGGTAGCAATTGTGTGTGGTGGTGGGTAATGCCAGAAATCACCCAACACAAAATTGACGAACATGGCCGAGATGGAGGGCGTTGTCGAGGTGATCGGGGTAGAGTGACTAAGCGTGCCTATGTGTATGGGTGTACTGAACAGATGCGTGTTTGTGTGTACAAATGTAGGACTGAATAAATGTAGAGGAGATTGTGTGTTCCCGGTCGAAAAAGAAAGAATTTGACTATTGAGATCAGCCCGGTAGAATGACGAATGAATGACGGCGTTAGGGGAGCAGGGTCACGGCTTCATCCATAGTTACTAATACTTTCTTCTATTCAACATTAATTATCCTCCTGACTTCTCGTCATCCTCGCAAACCGCCACCCCAAAACCGCACCGACATCCATTGAATCTCAAATTCGTCCTCAAGCAAAAAGGCGCGTGCGTTTAAAACGGTGTTCCTCACCTAGACTTCTACCACAATCTCGCTTCCTCTAGCCCACATTCATTTCTCATACATGCACTCCTGCGCTCGGACTCCTGCAACTTCTCCGAACACGACGCCGTCTCCATTCGATCCTCTCAATGGTTAAATGGAATGGAATCCACTATGCAACGCCAACAACACCTTGCTCCTGTCTCGCTCCGTGTGCCGAGAACGTTCATGGGCTGGTCAGACCACTCTTCCCAATCATGTCAGCAACCTATCAGAGGCTCTCTTATCACCCATCAGACACTGCTCACCAAACTTGACGCTCCTAAGGTACCAAGAAAAATCACGGCTAAACATACATGACAAGCTCTAACCAGCCCTACACTTTCTTCCCCACCAAGATCTGCCAAATGGAAGTCATCGCCCCCTCTCAGTGTCCTCCACAAGCCGTAGAGGTCTTGCATGCAAACAGGCAGTACTGCACAAATACGGGCATTGCATCATCCTCGCTTGCTTTCTTTTACAATTACCCAAGTTACTCTGAGCTGAATCTAGAAGTATTTTCAAAGGTACACGTAGATCAATTTTATTTGTCCGATCCCTAATGCCTGTTTGCCTCAATCATCAATCAACACCCTGAAAACTAGATTTTCGCTAGGCATACAAGAGGTATTTAAATTGAAGATATCTCGAATGTGCAGGTCAACATTTCATGCTTACATCATGATGCAATGACTTTCAATGAGAATTGCTAGAGCATCCAGAATCAAACCAACGGCCGACATGTGTTACCAGACAAAAGCCAGGTGTGGTCAGTGAAGAAAACTGCACAAACTGAGCTTTCGCAAACGTACGTATTGGGCCTATCTTGCAGGTGCTCCTGTCATGTCTGGAAGGCGCATTTTGAAATGATTGAGCTGCCTGCGCACCGCTTGTGTGTCAATCCGAATATTCCACGTCTACTGCAACCTTTGATGTTTTACGACCACAAGTTTTCTTAAGTTTTATGGAGGTACACTCGTAGGACTAATCATGAGTATAATAACAGTAGATAGATACTCTAGCATAATAGTCTACCGTAGATGTAAAAATTGGCAGTGGATCAGTGACTGTAACTTGTTCCGTATTTTGAGCCAAGAGACGTTTGGCTTGCCGAGGTCAATGCTCACCGGGACAGTGTAAGGCTAAATGGCTGCGGCATAAGAGGAATACAAACCTTGGTGAGCCCGGTATTAAACATGAACGACGCGCTCGGTTTTGAACGCTTGTCTCAACTCAAGACTGGGTTCACCAGGCCAGTAAATCTCTCCTCGGGTTCCTCACCAACCCAATTGCTCACCCACTGCGTAACCGAAACCCGACGAGTCATCCGCATCACTCGTCAAGGTACCCCTTACCATGGGCCCTGTTTTACTACAGGGGTCATGATCAGGGCTAGACGGCCGTCGCCGCTCTCCCTGCCGTCCCTTCAATCGTGAGGGCCTGTGCATTCGGCCCACTAAATCGGGGATCCCTCAAATTGAATGATTACAAGAGATGCGTAAAAAGATGCTAGTGGAGCTTGTATTTAGCCTAGACTACACGATGAGACTATCTAGAGAAGCTGTGAAATGATCCTCCGTTCATGGACTCCTGACGCTGCTGTCAAGTGAAAAGATAATAATGTGTAAACACTCTATTATGATCAAGTTATGAACGAGTTGCTTTATTTGACTGGGTTGCACAATGTTCGAAGCTCTTCTGTTTTGAGAACTCGTTACTAATCATAAATCGGTCAACTCAAAGATCTGCCTAAAATTCCCAATTAAGTACGCATACGACGGTGTCATGAACCTGGCTTAGCCAATCTCATCAAAGCGTTGTTGCCACATTGAATTGCACCTGGGAGAGCTTTATCGACATACATCAGGGGGGGATGGGAGGCCAATTTACCAAATATTCAATTTATTACTTATGCATCCAAGACGATTTATTCTCTCCCGCAATCTCTGGCACTACGCACTCCCATATTGTAGAGTACACTGCAACGCTTCAGTTACAGCACATTGCGCTTGCTGATTCAGGTTGTAGGTACTCAACCTGTCATGAAGAAGAGGAATTTATGTAGTACTAATGTTCGTAATTTCGGGAGCTCTTATCCGGAAACAGACTATGTTCACTTGGACCGCGTTGCGTACCCTAGGTCAGCAAAACAATTTCCACAAACCCCGTCTGCGCCTAGATTCGGGGGCGTCTTGATTCAGATATGCCATGCCTGTTAGTGTTGCTTGCAAGCTCACCCATGCTCTTCAAATACCTTTATTGACAATGTTCAAAGCCATCCGAGTATTTGAACCTTATCGATAATTGATCAGTGTTCCGTAGGATTCCTTGTGTAGCAGTCCGGAATCTGGTAGGCAAGCTGTATCTAGTGCTAGAGCTGGCTCCAAAGCTCAAACCAGTAGAAATGGCAGAAGAAAGACGCGCTGTTTGTGTGCAATCATCCTTCCCTCTCTAGCCATTCTGCATACAAAAGCCATTCGACGACGCATGCAATGCGGGACGGGAGACCTCGATCTGGTAAGAGACTAACGTTTATGACGATCGACGGGGCCACCGAACTGACATGGACTACCTATGAAAAGCCGGCTGGTGCTAGGAATATCAGCCGTAATAGCTAGTTTTAACGCTACTTCTTGCAGGACAAACAGGCGCCTACCCGACGGCTTACTTGGTACGCGTAGGTGTCTCACCATCTCTTGATGCCAGCGCGGATTCAAGAGATGGAGAAACGATCACGTTGACGCAGTCTCAAGGACGAATATTGCATCAGATTTACTAGAAATACAAAGGAATAAACGTAAAATTCTGTCATTGTTAAAACTGGCGTAGCGATGTGGGTCTCCTTCTATCATTGGCATCCCCTGAAGCGTATCCGACGATGGGTATGACGAAAGTCTGGTGGAAGAGAAGCCCGAGTATTGCAGGCTAATTTCCGATAGGCTGCTTCGTCTTATCTCATCAAGTTGCAAAGTCAGATGAGATGGCTAAATTCGTTTCCTCCGCTCGATTCGCAATCGTGACATGTTGAAGAAAACCACATAACGCTGAAAATTTAGCCATTATACTACTGTTCCCTAAATCGAAATATCAGATTTATCCAGTGTTTTTTGGAATTTGTTGTAACTCTGCTCCAATTGTTAAGCCTAGAGCTACACAATTGAGGGCAATGATCGGCAAGGTCGTTTGGAAATTACTTGGCACACAGATAAACTAGTGTACAAAGAGGTTAACATCAAAGACAAAGAATTTGAGTAAAAGATAGATACCTGTATTAGAACGACTAGGGATGGTTTCAAGATTGATTATACTTGCGAATTGGTTATTTCATTTTCATTGTTCATGTTCGTCACTCTGCGGGACTTACAGCTATAGTGTTTACTGTAACTAGCGCGTCCATGCCGAGGTTATCATGTGACCCCCAAATCGTGACACATCTACACTAACGTTTTGCCGACAAAGACAGATTCTTCACCTTCAAGTGGTGCCGG